TTTTTTTTTTAACAGGAATAACCTGCACTTTACAAAAACAGTGTTGTATGAAGCATATGAGCCATGATTTGTATTTTATATAAGATTACAGATGATTTCCATCATGCATGGCAATTTACTATTTTTACCATCTATGGCATTCACCATTCTGTACTTTAAATGTCATATCTCCAAGACAACATGAAGTCCAACTTTCAAGCAATTTATCTAGTTGATTAACATTTGTTTTCTCTATATGCTCCATATTAGAGTTTCTGTTGATATGTGTTTGCAGAATGTTCCTAACACACCATGTGTCTTCTTAGGTTGCTTGGATCCTGAGAAATTCAAGGACTTTAAACTTGTTAAACGCACTCAGCTCAGCCATAATGTGGCTAAATTTAAATTTGCTCTTCCAACACCAACATCAGTGTTGGGACTTCCTATTGGACAGCATATTAGTTGCAGGTTTGATTGGTTGGTTTTCTGTAGTATAATCCAGTTCCATGCTTTTCCTTTTCTTTTAACAGGTCATGTTTAGTTTTAACATGTTTGATACTTCTATAATCTTGTATGCTTGACTTATGATCTATCACGGTAGTTTCTCGACTCATTGTTTTTTCATACAGAGGAAAAGATAGCCTTAATGAAGACGTTGTCAAACCATATACCCCAACAACTTTGGATTCAGATGTTGGATACTTTGAATTAGTCATAAAGGTATTTATTTTTCTCATTGTTGTTTCGTAAACAGTTAATGTTTGTATGCCATTAGACATATAACTGGTGGTACATTTTCTCACAAATCACTTATCCTTCTTGGCCTATTTTACATTGATTTGATAATTTTTAAACTTTTTTTATCTTGTGCGTAGATGTATCCACAAGGAAGGATGTCTCAACATTTTCAAGTGATGTGTGAAGGTGACTATCTGGCGGTAAAAGGACCTAAGGTAAATTTTTGCCTCTTATCAAGTCTACATATCAACTAAAAGAACCAAGAAGTACAAAGTTGAAGTACAGAAAGAGATCGATTCCATTTAGCATTAAAACCCATTGGTCAAACAGATTTTCCAGTCCTCCATATCATC